TCATCAGCTGGCTAATAAAGCTTTGTTCATTCCTGCCTTTTTGGTTTTCTTGTGAGTGCTTTTCTTGTTGAATTCACTTGCCGTATCAAAACCATAACAGTTGCTAAATTGCTCAGGTTAGGCTTGAACTTGAGATCCTGTCTCAGCCTCGCAGAGTGCTGGGATTACAGGCTCAAATTACTTTCTGTTTATTTTTATTTTACTTTTGATCTTTGGAGACAGAGTCTTGCTATGTAGGTCAGGCTGGCCTTGAAGTCACTATGTAGCCCAGGCTGGCCTTGAGTCATGGTGACCCTCCTGCATCAGCCTCCAGAGTGCTGGCATTACAAGTGTGCAACTTCAATTTAATTTTTTATATGAGTGAGAAAAGTTTAGGTTTGTACTGCTTTGGCCATTCAGTTGTTCAAGCATGATTTACAGGAAGAAAATTTATTCCATCAAGTGGCTTTTTCACCTTCATGACATAGCTGGAAGGTCACCCTCCTCCAAAAGATTGATATTTAGCTTGACAAGATTCTGTTTTTATTTTCTTGACAACTTTTGATTGCTACCATAGCCTTTTATTATCAGTAAGATACCTTCTTCAGACTGCAAAGGGAGCCCAGGATCCAGGGGTCATTTAAAGAAATACAGGTAGATTGGGCAACAGGGGATAATTTTTATCAGAAAATTCTAATAAACTAACATAGGGTACTAAATTACATGTTACAGACTCAAATCAGAGAGCTGTTCCAACATCTAGACAGTCTCCTACTGATTAATAACGAGTGAAAACGGATCAGGTACAAAAATCTAATTATATGTTATATATGTGTTTCTTTGTTGAGCCAGTTTGACAAGATTCCTGCAGACATTATTGGAAATGCTCAAAAAGAAGTCCCAAGCACAGATGCATGGAGATGGCCCACCAGAGTGCCCTACAGTGTCTTGATCAGCCTCAAGGAGAGAGGGCCTCGACGATGGAGCATTTCTATTCTTTCCCACAAGCTCAATGATTCCTTCCCCTCATTAACCCATTCTTCTTCCTCCTTTCTCAATCACACTGTCCCAACCTTGCCTTCCTAGCTGCACCATGAGCATTTTCACCACTGACAATCAAGCCACCCCTCTGCTCTACAAAGATGTCCTCAAGTCAGGCACCAAGAAGACACCCATGGGAGAAAGTGCCTTCCCTTTCCCAAGATACTCTCTCAATCGGGAGACCTTATTGTGGAGTTAATACTTTATTTGGACAGATTTACAACAAATATATGACAAAGCTGCTATGAACATTTATGTACAGGTATTTGTATGGACATTTTGCATAAACATTGATCTGTAAAGCAAGGAGATTACTGGATTATATGGTTAAGTGTTTGAGAAGAGTTTGTCAAACTGTTCTCCAATGTGACTGTATCATTTTGCATTTCTGCCAACAATGTTTGAGCACTGTAAGTGCCCTGAATTCTTGCAAATGTACAAATGTTTGTCAGGTCTTTTTATTTTAGCTATTCTAATAGATGGGTAGTGGTATCTCATTGTGATTTTAATTTTAATTTCTCAAAAGCCAGTGATGTTAAGCATCTTTTCATATCCTTATTTGTCATCTGTACATCTTTTTTGTGTGCATACACATTGAAGCTTTTTGTAAGTTTTGACAGTTGGGCTATTTTGTTATTATTGAGTTATGAGCCTTTTATATATTATAGATACATTTATTAGCTGTGTGCTTTACAAGTATTTTCTTCTAGTATATGGCTTATTTCTTTCATTTTCTTAATAGTTTTTGAAGAACTAAGATTTTTGACTTTGAACTGTTCTTTTACAGTTAATTTTTTTATGTCCTATATAAAAATACCTATGCCTGTTTCTTTCAGCAGTTTTAAATTTTTAAGTTTTGCATTTATGCATATTATCCATTTTGAGTTAATTTGTGTAAGACGTGGGTCTTTCCTTTCTCCCTCTCTTCTTCCCTTGCCCTCTTCTCTCCCTTCCTTTCTTCTTTCTTTTAAAATTATGTATATGAATGCTCTGTTTTTCAGCACCACTTGGTGAAAAGATCACCTTTTCTCCATTGCATTTCTGGGCAATTTGCCTCTGTCAAAAATCAATTGACCGTGTATTAGGCCATTTTTTGTTGCTATAAAGAAATACCCAAGTCTCCAACCCCGCAAAATAAACAAATAAATGAAAAAGAAAACTTCATCCAGAGACATAACTCAAGGATAAAGTGTTTGCCCAGTATAAGGAGGCTTACATTCAAGCCTCAGCACTGGTAAAATATCAGATCAAATAATTCTAACAGGATCTGTACTGATTGCCTCCAGGAGGGAGAATTGTATGGACAAGAGGGAAACTTATTTATTGCTACTAACTTTTTTATATCTGTTGCATCTTGTTCCAAATATATGGATTTTTTAAGGAAATTAATAATGGTAGTTGTATTACATATTGATACATTCAAATTTGTTACTCAGATAAATAAATATAGGCATGTAAGATTGATCAAACAATTAAACATTAACTATTCCTTTCAATAAAGTAATAGAAATCAGCAGTACAACTATCTTAGCCAAATATATGTATTATCTACCTAAAAATTAACAAATAAATATTATGTTTTAAAATGGTAAGATCCAAAAATACTGAAAATGACACAAGAAAGTATAAATAATTGTTAAAAAGCCCAAAGCCTGAAAACTGGTGATCCACATGCTGAAGATTGAACCTAGACCCATATCTCTCATCATGCACTAAAACTAAATCAAAATGGATCAAATGATTAAATTGTTTTCTGTATTTTTGAGACAGGGTCTTGAGCTCACTTTGTAGCCTAGGCTGCCCTCAAACTCACAGTGATCCTCCTGCCTCAGCCTCCCTGGTACTGGGATTACAGGCTTGTGCCACCATGTCTGGCAGCATTTTTTAATTGTTCAGTCACCCTTTTTTTTTCTGGTACCAGGAATCAAACTCGGGACCTTGTGCTTGCCAGGTAGGCACGGTGCCGCTGGGCTATCTCCCAGCCCCCAAAGGTTTCAATATTAAAACAGAAACACCTAATCTGCTGGAAGACAAAATAGCTAAAACTCTTGAAGATAGACTTTCTGAACAGAACCCTGGTTGAACAAGAAATAATATTAAGAACCAACAAATAGGATCATATAAAATGAAAAAGCTAAACAGCAAAAGAAACCACCAACAGAGTGATGAGACAATTTACAGAATGAGAAAAAGTATTGCCAGTTGTTCATCAGACAAGGGACCAGTATTTAGAATATATAAAGAACTCCAAAAAAATTACATCCTCCAAATTTAAACACTCAATCAAAAAATGAGAATCTGAAATTAATAGCCACTTCTCAGATGAAATACAAATAGCCAATAAATACATGAAAAAATGTTCAACATCTCTGGCCAATTGAGAAATGCAAATTACAGCAACACTGAGATTCCACCTCGTTCCAGAAAAGAATGTCTATCATCAAGAAAGCAACCAATAACAAATGCTGGAGAGGATATGGGGAGGGAGGTGGGAGACACTTCTTCATTGTTGGTGGGAGTATAAATTGTACAAGCAGTATGTAAATCAGTACAGAGATTCATCTAAAAACTAATTCTAGAATGTGGTAGCTCACACCTGTAATCCTAGCACTTGGGAGGCGGGGGTAGGAGGATCAGCATGAGTTCAGAGCTAGCCTGGGCTACATAGTGAATCCAAGGCCAGCCTGAACTACATAGTGAAACCCTGTCTCAAAACACAAATAAAAACGAAGAAAGTGCAGTATTTATACACAATGAAGTACTACTCTGCCAAAAAGAGGGACAAACTTGAGCCATTTGTGGAAAATGGATGCACCTTGAGACCACAATGTTAAGTGAAATATATCAGACACACAAGAGTAATATCACATGGTTTCTCTTATATGAGAAATTCATTATACAAATAAGTGTAAATAAAAGACAGATAATAGGGGAAAAAAGAGAAATGCACAATATATCTAAAAGTGTAACTTGATCTAGTATAATTGTCTTACGTATTTTCTGTTTTTGGGCCTTTTAGTCCAGTTGTTAATCTGTAGTATGATAATTAAGTTTATAAGGACTTATAAAATGAATAAATGAATCTGATATTGGCAAAAAAGGGAAAGGGGTGTGTCGTGTACATGTACAGTTCACCACAATGAATGTAATCATCATGTACCACAAACATGTATTAATAATTTTTTTTAATTTTAAAAGTCCAAAGCCCTCACAATTTTTATGTTTCTATAAATGACTACAGACCAGATGTGGTGGTGCACATGTGTAACCCCAATACTTAGGAGGCTGAAGCAGGAGCGTTCCCGTGAGTTCAAGAACAACCTGGGCTGCATAGTGAGTTCAAAGTGAGCCTGAAAAACACAAGACCCTTCTCAAAAAAACCCCAGTATATAAATACTACATCTAAAATTTTATAATTCTTTGATATCATCAAATATCCAGTTAGTTTTCAAACTTCCAGTCTCTTACAAATGCTTTTATAATTAGTTTTTTAAAATTAAAAAGTCATAGTTTGTATTATGTTCATATATTGCTACACGTATATTTTAAAATTATACTGGCTCCCTTCCCTGTTTTTGGTTTGTTTTGTTTTCCTTGTATTTTTCTGCTGAATAAACTAGTTTGGCTGTGCTGTGGCTTTCCTGTTTGGAGTTCACTTGTCGCACCTTCCACAGTATTGTTTAATTCGTTTCTCAATATATTCTGACTACTGAAAATATGTAGTTAGTATCAGAAACTTGATCAGATTCATGGTGTTTGTTGTTGTCCCTCCATACACAATTCCTTATAAACATCAGCATAACCATATTGCCATGAATATATTCTAACTGAAACCTCTGAACTTTCTTAGGATGTATTCTATAGTCAGAGAGTTTTCTCTGGCCAACTCAGGGATTTAAATAAGGCTAATAGTGAGGTCGCTCCTTATGACTTCCCTACTCCGCACAGGACTGTGAAATCAACACCACCAGCTACCTCAGTGTTCTCTTCAGTAGCCCCCACTGGATTCTCTCTCCCCCAGCCAGGCAGGAGAGGTGAGGGTGGAAACTCTCTTCCGATCCAGGGGAGGCAGGGTGTGATTTGTTGATTCTTTGTGGCCTAACAACATGGACTTTGGGATCAATGGGCCTGGATTTCAACCTTAATTTTCCTCCATCTAAAAAAAAAAAAAAATGGGAATAAAAATCATCGCATAGGACTGAAGATATTTCACACTGCAACATAAATATCGATGTGCTGTTAACAAGATATTGTTACCCCATTTTTAGGCAACTCTAATAATTACTGGCACAATGATCTAGTATATTGTCTAAATCAGAGAACTTGAAATGAGTGCCTGTGGATGCCGCCCTCTAGCCTTCGCTCCATATATATTCCCCCCAGACATATTTGTTTGGTTTGTATTATTTTGGCCCTCAAAGCATTATTTAAAAAAACATAAGTGGATCAGTGAGAGTGGGGAGAAAAGGGATGGGGAGAAGGGATTGAAATTGATTTAGATATATTAAATACATGTACCAACTTCCCTAAATAAACTTTACCACCATGTAATATTAACATGTACTAATAAAATATAATTCTTTAAACTGTATAAAAAGAATTGAGCCAGGCATGGTGGCACACGCCTATAATCCCAGCACTTGGGAGGCTGAGGCAGGAGGATCACTGGGAGTTCCAGACCAGCCTGACTACAAAGTGAGCTCAAGGTCAGCCTGAACTGCATAGTGAGACCCTGTCTCAAAAAGACAAAAATATAAAAAATGAAAAGGAATTGATCACTAACAGTACATCAAATTGGTTGGTTTTACAAGAGAACATTAAGTTTCCTGCTCCTCTTAAAAATCAAATTTGGCAATACTGGACCCAAATTTCTGAATATCTTTAATCAGGCAGAGGTGAGCAGTAGCCACTCCATTTAGAAGTGGTCTGGGAGTGTCCATTTCTCCATGGCCCACACTCCTCTCTTTCCCCTTATTCTAGCTTGATTCATTCCTCCAAGGGATATACGAGCTCTTGATCCCTGGTTACATCAGCAATGTATTACTACTAATAATGCAATGACTTTTGCAAATGATATTTTATCCCCGCTAGGTCCAAAGTTTTCCTATAATAATATCAATCTTATTCAAACCTCATAAATATCAGTGCACTTTCTTAAGAAAAACTTGAGTCACACTTATCAAACCAAAAACTTTGCATTACCTTAGATATGCCTCAAGTGTGTATCCTCCTATTGAAAATTGTTTATTAACAGTGTCACAGGGGTGAAAAAATTTATCTTAACATAAAATGGAGCAGTCTCCCTGGGTGATTTCCAGGAAAACAAAGATTAAAATGTTATTGAGCCTTTTGTATGATCCTGAAAACCCTTTGAGACCTCATGACTTTTGTCTTAGACAAGAGACTTGCAGCACTCACATCCCCACATCACCATACACATGGTGCTTTAACAACAGGATTGACATTGTCCCATGATACAGACAAGGGACCAAGGAAAAATGTTGCCTAAAACTGGCAAGATATGTTCTCCATCCCCCAGAATGATGGAGAAATTCCAGCGCCTTCTTCTATATTTTGAGAAGTTTGTGCAGCACCATGTCTCTACAATATTAAGAACTAAAATAAGAGCTTACCAAGCAGTGAGATAGGTTTCTGAAGGAGTCAGTAGAGTTCTTACTGCACAAATTACTGGGCTCTGCTAGTACCTTTCATCTTCAAAGGACCCACAGGTAATAATCAGCCCAGGCATTAGTTCCCTAAAATTACCCACCTGCAAAGTTGCTAAAAGGATTCAGCACTAGTAGACAGTTGAAAGAGGCAGACCTGGGAATACTATCCTGGAAATATCAAAGAAGTGAAAGAGCATCCGTATAATTTGGCCCTTGCTTTGGGTTTGTTTGTTTGAATGATATTACCCAGCTCTACAGATTTGCTTTGCCCAAGGTGCAAAGACAAAATTCAATGGCGATAGGGTAATCTAGTCAACACACTGCACTGGGGCAATTGGATGTGGGTATACAAATGGACCTCAATACACACATCCCTTTTTATAAAACCTAACTCAAAATGGACCATACACCTAATTATAAAAGGTAAAACTGTAGAACTTCTAGGGAAAAGAAAAACCTTAGGTAGGAGAAACTCTCTGTGACTCTGAATTTGGTAATCAGTTTTTAGATACAATACCAAAAGTCTGGTCCCTGAAAAAAAAATAATAATTGGACTTTGTCAAAATTTAAAATTTTTTCTGTAATTGTTACCATTAAGAGATGGAAAAAACAAGCCAGAAACTGGGAGGAAATATTTGTAGGTCACATCTCTGGTAAGGATTCATAGTTAGAACATATAAAGAACACTTAAGAGTATAAAAATAACCCAGTTTTAGAATGGGCAAAAGGTCTGAACTGACATTTCAACAAGGAAGATAGCCGCCTGCCCCTGGGAAGCCATGTGATGGGGAGCTCTGGGCTTTGGGCCAGACCCCAGCCATGCAGGCACCCGGGAGGCAGGCAGCTGGGGTCTGGGAAGCCACACGATGGCACACACTGGTGCTCGCTGGCCCTCAGGCCAACCACCAACTATCACGGCCCAGAGAAGCAATGACACAATTGGCCTGCCACATGCTGGCTGCAGAGGCCCAGGGACATGCGTGAATCATCCCAACATGGAGAAGCCCCTGGGAATACATGCCACACAACGGGTCACTCTTGCTCCTGCCATTGAGAACCAGAAAGGTCCAGAGTCAGCAGAGGAGCAGCTGCTGAACAAGGACTCGGAGAACACAAGAACACAGACTACGCCTGAAGAGTCAGAGGTCTAGTTGACCTGGGTTCACAAGAGCCATTTGGAAGCTAGAAACCAGGGGGACCTTGCACAATACCTGGGGAGACCCCCTGGAAGCCATTCCTCCCCTGACAGTACAGGCTGCAGTGGAGAAGCGCATGGAGCTCCAGAGAAGTCTGCACCAAGATTCCTGCTGCCCATGCTGACGCTTGGGGAGAGGATATTAAGTTGTTGCAGGGTCCCAATGCACTGGGAGGCTGGAGAGAAAAAGCTACAAAAAATGGCTTTTGCCCCCGATGGCTCATTTGAGATGTTAGTAAGAATTGCCTCCTCAGTATTCTATGGCCATGATGAGGAGGAGGCCCATGAGAGAAAACAAAGAGACCGAGAAAAAGCAGCTGTTTTTGCTGCAGCACTAAGAGAAACAGACCCTAAGTCTGATTCTCAGGGCCCCAAGAAGAACTTGACAACTACATTCATCTGCTATCACTGTTAAAAGCCAGGCTACTTCAAGAGGAACTGCCCTAAGAAGGCCCCTGGGCCATGCTCTGAATGCAAAGGTGACCACTGGAGATCAGTCTGCCCTCTGAAGTGGAGGCCCCAGAGCTCAGACCCATCCTACCATTTAGTCTAACAGGAATGAGGTGCCCCGGGGCATACTCTGCCTTCTCTGTCTGGCCAGACTGTCATCTCCATGGTGGAGCCCTGGGTAATCATGACTATAGAGGAAAAAGAAAACAGCCTTTTGGGGCTGAGGATTTAGCTCAGCAACAAAGCACGTGCCTGGCAAGTGCAAGGTGGTGAATTCAATTCCTGGTACTGGAAGGAAAAAAAAAAAAAAAAAAAAAAACCAGCCTGTTGCTAGACACAGGTGCAAGTCTCTCAGTCCTTCTTTTCAATCCCAGCCTTCCTTCCAGCATCACACCTCAGTGAAAGGAGTCACTGGTGAGGAGGTGATCCGCTATTTTTCACAACCCTTAGGCTGTAACTACTTGTTAGATCTTTCTTGCGTATCTCTGTCTTCCTGAGAAACCATTTTGAAGATACCACCATATATTACAGCAGCCATTGATATTTTCCTACTAATCTGTCCATAACTCTGTAATGTTTGTATTGTTCCTATGCTATTTTGTAAATGGATGTATGTTTATTACTATGTGTTTCCTACAACAACCATTGAGTATAGTCAATGAGTATTCAACTGGTTACTCATGTTTATCTCTGTTTATTTTCTTTAGAAACCACTTTGAAGATAGCAAAGTATAGTACAACAACCATTGATAATAACTTACCACTTTTGTCTGTAGCTCACTATTATTTGTATATTTGTTTTCCTGAGAAGCTATCTTGTAGATAACAATATGTGAAACAACCATTGATAATTGCCTACTACTTTGTCTGTAATTCAGTAAGCCCCCCTATTACTATGTTATCCTTCTTTTACTCTTTAAAATAAAAAGAAAAAACAAGGAAGATATGTGGATGGTATGTCAGCATATGAAGAGATGCTCAGTAGCATTTGCCATTGGGGAAAAGAGAATTAAAATAACTATTAAATACACACCTAATAGAATGGCTAAAATCCAAAGAAACTGACAATACCAAATGCTAGCCAGGGTGCAGAGCAATAGGAATGCTCAGTTAGTGATGGTGGGGATGTAAAACAGCACAGCCACTTGGAAAGATAACACAGTGGTTGCTCATAAAGATAAACATAAACTGATCATACAGTGCAGCAAATCTATTGTAGGTATTTACCCAGGTGACTTGAAAACTTATACCCATACAAAAACCTGGTATTTATAGCAACTTTACTGATAATTACGCAAAACTGGGAACTGCCATCATGTCCTTCAACAGATGAATAAAGAAACAAAGTATGACATGTAAGGGCCAGGTGCAGTGGTGCACGCCTGTAATCCTAGCACTCGAGAGGCTGAGACAGGAGGATTGTTGTGAGGTCTAGACCAGCCTGGGCTACAAAGTGAGCTCAAGGCTAGCCTGAACTGCATAGCGAGACCCAGTCTCAAAAAGACCAAAATAAATAAATAAATAAATAAAGTATACATATGTATGCAAAAAGGATACTTCTCATTTTAAAAATGCCATAGAGTCACACAACATACATGAGTCTGGCACTTTCTTTCTTTATTCCAGAGAGAAAAAACATGACAACAATGAAGACAAAAACAATACAAAAACAAGAAAAATGATACAGGATTTCAAAACAAGATGACAGGAATTAATAATGGTTGTTATATTACATATTGTTATCCTCAACAAAGTTGCTCAGATTACCAGATGTAAGAATGAAAGACTGATCAAAGAATTAAAGACAATAACAAGTAATAAAAAAACATAAGAAATGAAACA